CTTGGTATAGTAACTAATAAAAAGACAGCGGCTTATAGTTTTGTCACGTTTTGTCTTGGAATTAAGGGTTTATGTAAACCAGTTTACGTCTCTAGGTGAAAACTTTTATTTTGACGGTTTCACTTTTGTTGTTAAATTAGAGGCGCAAGCAACGTGTATTTCTAATTGTGAATAATTACTGTGCTTTGAAAATGCCGAAAATAAGCAATGTTTCCACTTGGATAACACCTTACAAAGAGCTATCTATGGATATGGATAAAGTTTACTGCTCATGTTATGGCAAAACCGTAAGTAGAGGTAATGGATTTTGGGAACAGCTATGACCTTGAAAATGCCACAAAGAATATAACTAAATATCTCTGTTCTTACTCAGATTCTTTAAAGTCTTTTACAATATTTTAGAATCGAAGATATGTAATTATATTATTAATGTATTGGATTTTGACAAGAGCTATGCATTATGCCTATTTAGTACACAAGTTTATTTGAAATGTTCAAGGTCATAGCTGTTCCCAAAATCAATTACCTCTACATACGTATTATTTTTTATTTTATTTTAAAAATTTACACGATGGTACAAACAAAGATTTTAAAATTGGAGATTATGTTCAAGAAAAGTACCTACCGACACAAGGCTAGATCGCAATAATTCGATGTATTTATTCTTTTTTCAAGCATTTTTTAAACTACTTGCGATAAAAAATAGGATACCTATTTAAAATTCAAATCATTCAAAAGTCTACTAAAAAGTCAGTAACATTTTTTTTCTAACAATAGCATAGTTTGTTTTAATTTTCCTAAAAACAAAAACATATCATATATTGGACTTAATTAATTAAGTGCTTTTAATTTATGCTCACAGTATATTTTCTTTAAATGTAAACAGAAAAGACCAAGAGCCTCTTTTAAATATTTGGAGGTTCTTCCTTCTTGCACAGTCATTTTTTGACATTTTCAAAATTACTACACCGATTTTTATTTGATTTAATTTAAATATTTTAATTGTTATGCAAAACCGGTTCATTTTTAGTTTATTTCTACAATCTTAGATTTTAAAAGTGGGTACAACTATAGAATATTTATATTCTTTTTTAGACTTCAGCTGAAAAAAAAATTTTAAATAAAAATTTTCAAATCTTCAGTGTCTAACTGCTTTCAGTCAAGTTCCAAAAAACAAACCGAACAAGAAACTTTTAACGAAGACTTGTGTCGTGCATTAGAATCTTCTAATATACCGCTTTCAAAATTATCTAATGAAAACTTTAGTTCTTTTTTATAAAAATATTGCAAACAAAACATTCCCAGTGAACGAACTCCAAAGAGAAATAATGTCAATTTGTTATACTCCTCAGTTATCTACAACATAAAAGCCAAAATAGGTAATAATTACTTATGGACGAATACATAATAATATTTACATCTGTATGGACGAGACCACTGACTCATCAGGAAGATTGTGCACTTATTGATTAGTGTACTTAGCGATGAAACCTTTCCAAAATCGTGTTTAATTTCCTGTAAGCAAGTAGAAAAAACCAACGCTCTAACAATATCACGGTTTCTACAAGAAGCATTAGCAAAGTTTTTCTTCCCGCTGCTATGCTTAATGATCAATTATTGCTTATTTTATCTGATGCCGCACCATATATGGTGAAAGCAGGACAAAATTTAAAAATATTTTATCTAAACTTAGTACATGTCACTTGTTTAGCATCATCATCGTCATATAACGGATGTCCTACGGCGATTGCCGCTTCCCGCATTTCAGCCTCCATCTTTTCCTATCTCTCCAATCTCCCTCTTCTAAGCCTCTAGATTGCATTGTTTTTGTAATTTCTCTTCTCCAGGAATTTGGTGGTCTTCCCCTTTTCCTTCTTTCTGGCGAAACATACATTAAGGCTTTCTTTGGCCACCGCTGCTCCTCCATTCTCATCACGTGACCATACCATTGTAATTGCCTTCCTTGTATTCTATCTGAAAGAGTATCTCTAATTCCTGTACGGTTTCGTATTTCCTCATTCCTGATTCTTTCCATTCTCGATACTCGACATGACCTTCTAAGATAATCCATTTCCACAACGTCTACTTTATCTCGTTCATTCTTTGTCATCGTCCAACATTCGGCACCATATGTGGTAATTGGTTCTACAATTGCTCTGTATACGCGAAGTTTGGTATGCATCTTTATTTTATTAGACCACAGTAATGAATTCAGTATTCGATGCATTTTTTCCCTTGAGTTATTCGGTTTTGTACATCTATCTTAACTCTGCCATCTGCTGATATGATGCTTCCTAGATATTTATACTGGTTGCAGCCTTTTATGACTGCGTTTTCAAGCCTCAGATCTGTGGTATTTCCTTCAATTTTTAAATATTCTGTTTTGCTTATGTTTACAGTAAGCCCCCATTTGGCATATTCCTCAAATAATTTTCGATTCATATAATTTATATCTTCCTCATCGGTTGCAACCACCACCTGATCATCTGCAAACAACAATGTATACAGAGTTTCTTGTCCCACTTCGATGCACATAAATCTACATTTATTTCTCCAATTCCTCAATGCTTCTTGGACGTATATTTTAAAGAGTGTCGGTGACAAACAGCATCCTTGCTTTAGGCCTTTAGTGACTTTAAATTCATTTGATTAGCGCATGGAATAAACAGAGTTGCGGAGGAAGTAAGAAAAAAATTTCCACTAGTTAAAACTTTAATAGCGAGCGCCAAAAAGGTATTCCTAAAATCACCTGTAAGAATATATTACATAGATATGCTTCCTGCTGTTCCACTGCCACCGCAACCCATTTTAACACGTTTGGGGAACATGGTTGGAAGCAGCTAATTTCTATGCTGATCATAGGGTTGATTTAAAAAAAAAATAATTAACCTTTTAACGAATGATAGTTGCCAATCTTTATTGGAAGCTAAGCCAGCCTGCCAAAATGACATCCTCCAACGGCAACTGTCATTCATAAAATCAAATTACAGTTTTGTCCAGAAAACTATAACTCAATTAGAATCCTCCAAATTATCATTGTTAGAGAGTACAGTATTAATAAAAGAATTTGAGTCATTGTGTCAAAACGTTATAGGTACTACTAGAAAGAAAATTTTTCAAAAATTTTAAGTAACCATGGAAAAAAATAGTCGTTACCTGATTCTTTCTGAAGTGGTTTAAGTACTAGCTGGGACATTTTCCGAACCACTTAATTTATAACCATCTATTATAGTAAATTTGAAAAATGCCCCAGTTAAATCAGTTGATGTCGAAAGAAGTTTGTCTATTTACAAATACATGTATTCAGATAGAAGCCATAAGATTTTATTAGAAAATTTGGTCATCAAAACATCATTGATAATCTATTGTTACCACAATTCAAAATAATATTTATATGTTAAAATAATTGTGTATGTTATGTATTTATAATATTGTAAGTATTTTTGTAAATAAAAAAATATTGTAAATATTGTTTATTGTATGCATATATTTTCTAGATAAATATGCATATTTTGCATATAATACTGCATACTTTTGCATAAAATACTACATATTTATGTGCATATTTCATACTTTTTGTTTGCATATTTGCCTAGTCTAATCATAACTAATCTAAAATGCGTTTTTTTATTGTTGTATTTCATGTTTACAATTTACTCTATACTCAAAGTAATGAATAAATAGTCTATAAGTAAATTAACGTGAGTAGGTACCATCCAATGACAGTTCTGTAAGTATTATTGCGGTAGGTCTTCTGGCCATACTCTCTTCAATCTTCTTTCGGCAAGTGGTTGGGTGAATAAATTATTTATCAGTTCGTTGTTGTGATCAGTGGTGTGATTTTTATATTTTATTGAATGATTCTTTATTATGTCCTTAGTAGTGGGATATACAGATCATTGTGAAGTGTTTGGTTGGCTACATACTATGAAGCTTTACTTATCATACAGAGTATTGTGGATTGGAATGTTTAAAGTATCTTCGTTTTTGAGGGTTTACTGCAGCCCCATAGTTCTATTCCATACGCCCAAACTGGTATGAGTATAGCTTTGTACAGAAGCAGTTTATTTTCAAGAAATAACTGCGACCTTTTTTTAAATAGCCAGCTCATATTTTGTAGTTCAAGATCTAGTTGTTTTCGTTTAGTTTTAATGTGCGTTTTCCATGTAAGTTTTTCATCCAGATGCAATCCCAAGTATTTGACAACTGGTTTTATGGGAATAGAAGTATTATTAATAGAAACTTGTGGACATGTATATTTTCTTGTTGTAAAAGTAATTTGTACTGATTTGCTGGCATTAACATTGATCTTTCATCGCTTAAGCCAGTTTTGTAATTGGTCTAAATAATTTTGTACTTTTTGTGATGCTACATTAGGGTCGATATCCACTGCCAAGATTCCCGTGTCATCGGCAAAGTAGCTAAAAAAATATCATTGCTGGAAAATACTTGTTAAAAAATTAAAGTGCTTTTCGATTTGATTTTGTTATAATTAAGTAAATGTCAAAAATGACAGTTGTTTCCTATTCTTTTACATTATTTTCTAAATTATTTTACTATATTTATTAGGGAATCTAAACCTAACATTAATTTGACATATTGAATTACCGAAACAGAAAAATAATCTTATAGATATTGTCGACATTTTTACTGGAATGGTCTAAACTAAGTGTAGCGTTACGAAAGACTATTTTTTCAGTTTTAAGTTCTATTAATTTAAATTAGGTATAAGAAAAAATTTAACACTTGACTGTATGTGTAAATTTCTGTACTTACAGTAAATTTGAAAATAAACTCTTTAAGATCAGAAATTATTTTCAAAATAAACGGTATAACTAAACCTTGGCCACCGTACATATAAAACGGATTCCATTCTAGTTCACGACATTATTGTTGATTGTCAAGTTATGTTGACGAGACCATTTGTCAAAATTCCAGCTATTTATTAACATAATATGTATATTTTGTATAATATATTTTTATATATTATTTTGTATAATTCACGCCAAAAAGAAAACTAAAATTTACTTCATTAGTGCAGTTCTTTATTACGTACACAATCTGCGCGCGTCTACTTTAGAAATAGCAAACGTCAGGAAATAGCACAGTTTGCTTCAATCGTTTGTACCGGAAGGTGGCTGAAACCTTAAGTTATTTCATTGGCATTTCACGAAAAAAATATAAATAAAACCGTTTTGCCGTGTAATGGCTTTTCTGCGTTCGGTAACTAAGCAAAGTGTTTATAAAAAGTACGGTTTATTTTTCGATTCATTTCAAAATTTCGGGAAAATCAATTTAAATATCAGTCAAACCGCATTAAAATCAACAGCGGCAAGTAGTACCTTAGTGCAAAATGCAACAAACGCCGTCGACAGCCAGTCTCCAAAGGACCCCCTTGACATTAGTTTTTCCGACCCCAAGGCAGCTTTCAAAAGCAAAACCAACTGGGAACTTATCAGGGCATATGTGGTGTATACACTATGTTCATTCGAATATTTGGTTACCCATAATATGAAGGTAAGTTTTTAAAACAATGATTTCCAAATTCACACAAAACTTCATGCTAACGAAATATCTAAGTTCGTACGCCGGTAGATCACCGGTATCTTATTTTTAAACTAACTGTTATTCAAAATTAGACTTGAAACTGTCATAAAATTATCATATTAATATTCAGCTTGAATCATAATTGTTCGCATAATTTTGGGGGAGGAACCTTTAAAAAACGATAAAAATAGTATTACCAAATATATAAATCATGAAATTGGTAATCAATTTTGTACTCGAATATTACATAATAAAAATATTTCAGACACAATTATTTGCAGCTCCGTTTCGTTTGTTGATGTTGGCAATGAAACCAGAATAACCTTCAATCGATTTTAGCGGCAGAATTCGTATAACAGCAGTGGCGTGGCCAAAGACACATTAAAAACTAAAGTTGGCAGTGTTAGGTCATAATATTCTGATTGAAGGAAAGTTATAAAATATGATTACGAAATCCATACTAGTCAATTCAAAAGATATAAACCGAAACGTAAAAATAGCTTAAAAATTATTTTTTTTGCACAGAACCCTAAGGGATTCTGCTTTTACTTATAGGTTTGAGAAAGAAATGAGCGTTGTAAGAATAAATATGTTTTAATAACACTATGAACATTTTATCCCTATTTGAGATAACTTTCCTAATTACAGTTCTCTATAAGTTTTCCTCTTCGATCATACCAATATTAAGTAATCCCCTTCACAGATATAATGATTAACCATCTCCCACCATGTCTTCATTTGTCTTGCTCTCAGGAATTTAACACTCAGCGATTCTTCCTATTGGGCGATTCTGCTGAGATACTTTTATAATTAATAGATACTTAATGGAAACGTTCACAATAGTTATTATGCAACATACTTACAGTTACATACAATATTTTTCCGCACTTACGCAAAAACCAAAAATATTTTATTTACCACAGTCCTCACTTCTCTGGAAATATCTGGTCTAAGTGCCTTGACCTTTTTTTATTTTTTTTTTTTTGAAGTGCTTATTTAATTTCGTCGTTTGTTATTTTGGTGATCATTGCTGGTACTTTTCCAATTAATTCAACTGGTTTTCTGTCAAATTTTTTATTTAATAAACTATCAATTATTTTTCCATCACTTTTTGACATCCTTTTCTGAAACTAGCATTTTATTATTTTCTTTCCAAATGAAGCTTAGCTGAGTAAAATAGTTTGCTTTCTTCGCACTACTTGGCTATTTTATATTTCTTCATTTTATCCTCTTTAGGATCAAGTTGATCATGTAGATTTTTATACGCATCTGCTTTAGCTTTTGCTACTGGTATGTTCGCTTCCTTTTTGGTGATCTTACAGTTTTGAAGATCTCTGTCCAACATATTGTAGTGCCACTAATCATTTTCTCTTCTCCTTTATTTTTTCTTGAACTTCGTTTGACCACTACCAGGTTTTTATTTTCAAACTTTTTTCTGAAGTTTTTCAAGTATGTATATCAAATCACATTATCTCCAAATTTTATTAGAATTTCCTTTCATATTCTAAGCTCGTTTTTTCTACTAAGTAGGTACTTTTAACTGAATCAACATTCTTTAACATCTTTTAATATCCACCATTTGATTTATTGTTATTGTCTCTGATGTTTTAGATTCCTTTCCCTTCTTACTTCAATGTCCAGCACAAGTAATATGTGTTGTCAGTCTTACTAACTATTACCATACAGTCTTTACATTCATGTGTATCTTATTTTCTTATCTAGAAATCATGTATTTGAGAATGATTTGGCCTACTTTTTTAAGTCCTTCTCTCTCTTCGGATTGCTGAATATAAATCTCTCCTAATTCTTACCATTCATCTCTGTTGTTTGTAAGTTATTTCCACATTGGTCCTGCAGTTCTTTTAATATCGTCCCTCCAGCGCATTTGCGGTCTTCCTCGTCGTCTTTTGGCTTCATATGGCCGCAAATTCCCGAATTCTTTATTCCATCGGCCATCTTTAAGACGTTCAATATGTCCAGCCCATTTCCATTTCAGTTTAGCTGCCTCTTCGACAGCATCTTTTGTTCTATTACGAATGTCTTCATTGGTTTTATGGTATTTGAGTGAGATATCCAGCATCTGTCATTCCATAGTTCTGAGTTTTTCTGATCTCTATGTTTATTTTAGGGAATGTCCAGGTTTGAGCTCCTTATGTAAGTACAGGTATGTATGAGAGTCTTCCGAATGCTGCCCATACCATTTTTATATGTCTGCTCTTTTCGGTAGTCTAATTTTCTTTGCTTCCCTTGACATTTTGAGCCAGATATGTATATTCATCTACATATTCTATCTCCGTCCCTTTTTTTTTGCATTAGTTAGTTTTGCTTAAATTTATTTTCAGTTTTTTTTTTATTTATTCTGTGTGTAGCTCCTCATTTATCGTATTAAGTGCATTCCATGTGTCTGCTATTAGTACTACATCATCTATGTATCTAAGATGGTTTAAGTATCTTCCGTTAATAGGGATTCCCTTATTTTCCCAGTCTATTGACTTAAATATATTTTCTAAGGCAACTGTAAATAATTTTGGAGATATTATGTCTCCTTGTCTTACGCTTCAGTTGATTTTTACTGGCCTTGTTTCTATTCCATTACCCAACGTCACTATCATTTCAGCTTGTTCATAAATATTATGTATTAATATTCTGTACCTGGGGTCGATCCGGTTATTGACTAATGCTTCTTCTACTCATATTGCCCACAGTTCTACGCTATCAAAAGCTTTTTTATAATCTATAAAATTCAGACATAATGGTAGAGTATTCATTAGTCTTTTCTATTAGGATTTTCAAAGTATATAGATGGTTACAAGTGCTGTACCCTTTTCTAAATCCGGCTTATTCTACTGGTTGATATCCGCCAAATTAAATTGTTAACCTGTTTGTAATAATCTTTGTTAGCCTGTTTGTGTATTAATATTGTTTTAGCAGTATTCCATTGTTCGGGTATGTTGCCTTCTTAAATAGTATTTTTAGATATGTGATGGCTTCTTCTCCACCTTCCTTTAATATTTCTGCTAGGATTCCATCTCTTCCAGGAGCTTTATACCTTTTTATTTCTTTTACTGCTCTTTTTATTTCTTCGTGGCTTATTTCAGGCATCACTTCTGAGTTGACACTTGTTATCTGCCTTTTTAAGTTTTGCTTTAATCTTCTGAATTAGGTTATATGATAAGTTGACTTTATCTTTTTCGAATGAATGTACTAACAATCTCTATATCTAATCTTCTTTCTTCGCAACTATTCATGGGTCTTCTCTAGCAGTATGATTTGCCTGTACCTACTTCAGTCAATCATATAATCTATTAGAACGTTATCCCTCCATTTGAGTCTAGGTCTGCCTATGTTTCTCCTGCTGATCTTCCGTTTGATAAGCCATTCTTCATTGTCTCTATGGACATGTCCTTCCCAACTCAGCATTTGAGCTTTTATCCCATTGATGATGTTTGGTAGATTATAAAAGATTTCCAGATCTTAGTGTATTATAATTCAATAGTTTCTGGTTATCCTATTAACTCTCTGGCCATATATTTTTCTCAGTAGTGTTGTGTTCAAAGTGTGGCTAATTCCAAAAGATTATCTCCAGAAATATTTCTAGTTTCATAACTTCTAGGTTTTGCTCCTCAATGTATTGTTTTATATTCTCTCTTGAGTTAACCCACATGTGTATTAAAATCACCTCCTATTATAACTCTCTCGTCAGAGGGAATATTATTTTATTCTTACATAGACAGACTTGAGCATACACACAACATTTAGCATGTAAATAAAAAAGTAAAAAAGAAAGTAAATAAGAAAATAGAATAACTACTAGTAGTAGTACTACTAGGTATAATAACTATTGATCTCAAAAATATAATTAATATATTAACATAAATGTATCCATGTTTAAACTGCTATTATCATTATTATTGATATTAAGTAGGCTGATTTATTCTAGTTTCTAGGAGTATTTCTTTTTTAATAAGTCTGTATAAATATTATGTATGCTTACTTTTAGAATCAATATTTAAATTTTCAGGAAGATTAGAAAAAACCAATATCATAAGTATGTCTAATATCTGCAGTAACAAACCTTCTTTCATAAAACATTTTTTTATGGAAAAATCTTTGCAATAATTGTCTTATGACATTTTATCAAGAAATTAATACTTATTATTTTCAATGCCATGTATGAAATAAAATTGATTGTAAAAGCAATTAAATTTTAGTACAGTTGAGGTTTGTGGTTAATAAACAGATTAAACAAACATCTATTTTCTCTTATACAATGGATGTTTTAATTATATTTTGATATGATTGCTCTTTCCAGTTCTCTCATAACCAAATTATCAATAGTCTGGATGAAATTGTGAAATGCATTTCCATTTCTTTCTTTTTAGTATTTATTTTTATATAAAAAATGCAAAATTATGGGAAAATTTAAGATAATCTAAAAAAAACAACTAGTGTAAGTGAACTAAATTATGTGTATTAATTTTATGTGTATATTTTATTTAATTATGTGTATTTGTTTCAACACTTAACCCTTTCAGACCTGAACGTAATTTTTTCTTCAGAACTTGGTAAAATGTAGTGCAAATGATACTTGGAGGTTACTTATAATAGAAAAATATTTAAAAAAAAAATCTATGTACAAAGTGTTTAAAAAAAAGGTACACACACAATTGTGTATGATAGGTTTTGTTTAAGTTTTCTCTAACAATGTGCAACCAACTCGAACCGGCATGGTTTGTATGGTCACCTGCCCATCTCATCTGATTTCCCCCTCTTTCTCGCTTATGTGTCTTTGATGTGCAAGTTTCGAATTAAAAAAAAATATGCTTTCACATAAATGAAAAAGCTCTAAGCAGCCCTACAGAACTATAAAAAGGACAGCGATATGCGCCGACATTGACGGAAAACGCGCTCTTCTGCAACTCATATTGTCAGTACTATCTTCTTCTTCGCGTGCCATATCAGAATTATCC